TTTATTGCAACTCAAAAACACATGCTATTATTAGACTTTCATTTAAAGGCCTGGTGTATACAATTTGTAGTATTAAAGTATAAGTGAGCAACATCTACACACGATGACAGTAAACCAAAAGGCGCCTTTCATGGGTACGAAACCTCTCTCGAGCACAATACTTAACCACAAGGTGCTTCCATCAATATCGTGAAGGTTTAGATGCTTTCGAAATCAATAGTCATGTTTGAACCCATTTCTATTTTCATTGTTACATTATTTTGAGCACAAAGCTGAGTTTAATTGCAATGACTTGGGTTAACACTTTTTAAAGTGTTCAGTGCTTTTTCTCATGGATGCCCTGCCTCCAGTATAACGTAAATATTTGAAGCATCAGAAAAAAATCATCTGGAACAAGAATCACGTTTACGCTCTTACGTATCGTTGGTTCGTTGGCTTGTTTTAAGTAAACGGAAGAAGTATTAAAAATAAGAAGTATTAAAAATAAGAAGAAGGAAAAAGAAGAAGAAGTAGAAAAAAAAAAATCAAGAAATGACAGTTATCCTTAATTATTTTGACTCGATATAAAATTAAGTGGTCCAATGATTACAACAAAATAACCATGGATTTCATTTTAGCATCATTTGATTGGTGCTATCATGCTATAATGGAAGATAACACTTTTCATTGATATTTAGTTTCGAGAAAGACATTCCACATGCATAAAACAACCAATCATGAAAGTGAAATACATTACCTATTTAAATACTATATCATTATGATCCACTAATGATCCACTAATGCTTTAATCTTTTCAGATAATGGAGGCATCTCTACTAGTCCTATGGATATCACTGATCATCCAAGTGTTACTCGTGAGCAGAACGCAGGGTGAGAATTGGTTTGTCTACTTTCTCAGAAACATTGCTTTATCCTACAGGAATATCCATTTTGCTATAACATTAAAGTTTTACATTTTTAATATTTCCTGGTTGAATATTTTAGGTGCAGCTCGTTTCACAGTAGTTCCACCAAGTGTTTCATATGCGTCTGTAGGAGAAACAGCTAAGCTCGTGTGGGATTACAGTGTGGATAACAGGATGGAAGAGTTTGAT